GAGTATGTGTCAAAAGACATCGTCAATTTACATGAAAAAGAAGGGATTGTGCATGAGGTGGTGCAACCCTACACTCCATAACAAAATTGAACTGAAGAAAGGAAGAATCGAACCATCATGAATATGGTTAGAAGTATGTTGAAAGGAAAACATTTACCTAAAGAGTTTTGGGGTGAAGCTGTGTCAACTGCAACATATATTTTGCATAGATGTCCTATGAAGAAGCTAGAAGGAATTACTCCAGAAGAATGTGGGGGTCTGGTGTAAATCCTAGCTTGATTCATCTTAAGGTATTTGGATCTATAGCACATAGACATGTGCCAGATCAGTTGAGAAGAAAACTTGATGACAAGTCGAGTCAGATGATCCTAGTAGGATATCATTCGACATGAGGTTACAAGTTGTTTGAACCAGAGAACAAGCAGATTGTGATCAGCAGGGACGTGATCATAGATGAGCTTAAGGAATAGGATTGGAAAGGAAATGTCAATAAATATTCAGTAAGAATCTTATGTGAAGAATCATCAGTTGAAGTCGAAAGAGAAGTTCGACAAGAGGAACCTGCAGTTATAGATCAACCAAGTACAAGCAGACCTCAAAGAACAAGATGCATGCCTATAAGGTTGCAAGATTGTGTGATTAAATCAAATGATGTGGTTGATAACAAAGGTGAGTTGGTAGGTTATGTTTTCTATGCAGATGCCGAACCACTCAATGCAGTTGAAGCATTAAAGGATACAAAGTGGGTGAAAGCAATGAACGAAGAAGTAAAGTCCATCAAAGACAACAACACTTGGTTACTTGTCAAATTGCCTCAAGGAAAGAAGGAAATTGATGTCAAGTGGGTATACATAGTGAAGATGAATCCCAAAGGGGAAGTAACTCGACACAAAGCGAGGCTCGTGGCGAAAGGATTTCCCCAGAAAGAAGGAATAGTCTTCAAAGTTGATTTTAACAAGGAATATGAAACGTTAAATCTGGGTGACATTTCATATTTCCTTGGAATCAAATTCTACTAGAGAAGTAGAGGTTTGATGATGCATCAAAGAAGATATGCAGGAGAAATTATCAAGAGGTTTGATATGGAAGAATGCAACTAAACTTCGACACCTACTGAACCAAGGTTGTAATTGTCGAAAGATTTAGAAGAAGATGATGTCAACCCAACCCAATACAGAAGACTTATTGGGTCACTAAGATACCTTTGTCATAAAAGGCCTGACTTAGCATACATTGTAGGTATGGTAAGTAGATTCTTGGAGAAGCAAAAGGTATCACATATAGCAGTGGTGAAGAGGATACTAAGGCATCTCAAAGGAACTCTCATATATGGCATTTTATTTCATGCAATTGATAAGGGAAAATAATGCAAGTCAGTGGGATAAACTGATTCAAGTTGGTGTAGTGATGTTGAGGATTAAAAATCCACAGTAGGATATGTGTTTATGCTAGATGGTGCACCAGTTTCTTGGAGTTTGAGAAAGGAACTAGTATTGATATTATCATCATGCGAAGCAGAGTACATAACTGATTCTCTTTGTGCATGTCAAGCAACATGGATAATGAACTTGGTCGAAGAGATTACAAGTAAAGATCATGGAGCAATTACCATGAAGATCGACAACATGTCAGCTATCAATCTGACAAAGAATTCGATAGCTCACGGTCGTAGCACGCACATCGAAATGAGGTTCCACTATCTTCGAGAGTAGGTAGCAGATGGGAAGATGAACTTGGGACACTGTAGAACTGAGAATCAGATTACAGACATCATGACGAAGGGAGTGCAAGTAGAAGTATTTCGAAGACTAAGAGCTATGATGAATGTAGATAGCTTAGAAACAATGAATTAGGTGGTGTGTTGAAAGTAATTCCTTGTGACGAAGCAGTTTGCTTGACAGAAACAAGGGAATATCGAAAAGATTTGATTTGATTTAGAAGTGTGGAAATAATTTATTACACACAGATTTCTTTTAGATTTAGATAGATTTGATTTAGATCTAAAATAGATAGATTTGATTTAGTTCAAAAATAGGTATTTTAGACTTTTATAGTTTTGAGTTGTTGACTTAGAGAGCAAGCTCTCCTAATTCTATAAATAGAGGGAGTAATCCCTATATTTTATAATCAAGTCAATCAAGTTGTATTCACAAAATTTGCAGTTGCAAGTGAATAATAATATTTTCTATAGTTTGTGGGCAGAGAGAAACTCTGCAAAAAATTAATTGTCTTCTTTCTTTCTTCTTTTCTTTCTTATTTTATACTGTCATTGTGTGGTGATATCAATCTTGTTCATCAAGATTGGTAGAAATTCATCATAGATTTTGGTGGATTTCCAACATAATCAACTAGAATAATTTGGTAAAATTGTTATTCTCTCTCTTTCATTTATTACATTTTCTTAATATGCACCAAAGTGTCAAGTATGACAAATATTTTGGAACATATGAAGTATTATTTAAAAGTATAATAAAAAATAGTATTAAAAATTTATTGCGCTACTATTGTAAAATGGAGAAACAGTTTTTTTAAATGACATATGATAAAAAATTATGGGAATATTCATTTTATATTTATGTATGGTTAGTAGGGGAATATTTTATATTCATTATTTTAATTGAAATAAATAAATTAATATTTAAAATATATTTATATATCATTTCATATTTATTAATTAGTTTAAGTGTTAATTTCATCAAACAAAAATATTCCTATCAACTTACAATTGTGTTAACTAAGGCTAACAAAAGTGCATGATAACATTGTGATATCTTTAACTTAGTTGTGTGACATGACTGGATGATGAATCTTTATTGAATGATAGTGTAAAATTATTTTACACTATCGGTGTACTATCTTTAATATCATATTGAAAATTAAGTTAGTGTTAATTAGTTTAAGTGTTAATCGCATCCTGATATATTGGAATGACAATAAAATAAACTATTAAAAAATTAATAATAAAAGATTGTTAGGGAAGGGTCTGACCTAGGGTTCCCCTTGCACATTTTATATGATCTCGTTAGTTAATTTATTTATCATTTATGATTCCTCGTTCTCTAGATTATTTAATCATAAGTCCTTAATGATTAAATATTTATCTATTCAGACAAAGAACTCAAGTCCTTGGTAAGTCAAGAATTTAAGAGTTGAATAGTCTTACCCCCTAGTCCTAAGTAGCGATCGACTAGGATACGTAACTCAACGATTTTACCTATTTCTTGACTACTCTTGCAAGGTAAACCACAATTCAATTATGTACCTGTTAAAAAGTACAATTGTGTGTGATATCCCTATATAGGAGGGGGTAATCAGATGCCTTTGTAATTAAGGATGATTAGAGCTTGCTCACGATGGTGAGAGGCCCTATTTGATGAGGCTTGGGTCAGCTCACGTGAGGTGAGAGGCTTTGTGTTTATGTGTTATGCTGGGTAAGTTGTGATATGCCATTTACCCTCGAAGGGCTAAGAGGCCCATGGCCATATGAAAATTAAGAAACCCTAAGAGGTGGCAACCTGTTAACTAGAGGTGATCGTTGAGTATCTATTTTCTACGGAGTCGTAGTATGACTTTGTTTATGTGACAAGTGAAGGGATAAGAAAGAAACAAAAGTTTCTTATATAATTTTTTTACAAAGTCTCTTATATCTTATTCTCTTGGTTAATATTTAAAAATAGTCATATTCCTATTTACCAATAAAAGAAAATAAGAAAGAAATGTAGAATAACAAACTTAAATAAATTATATCAATAAAAAGAAAGTTTTAACTGATTCAAATATTAGGGATAAGTACATGTACTTATTTGAACAACATTTCATAGACTTTCAAGCAGCAACAATGCAATGAAATTTTATCTTCTTCTTGTGCTTCACATAGAAAAAATCATATTCGAATCAACCAATAAATAATTATAAAGAAAGTTAGAATAGTAAACTAACACAAATTATATCAATTAAAAAACAAAATTTAAATATTTGTAATAAAATAAAAAATTCAAAAGACACCACCAAAGATTTGTTTGTAGAAAATGGTGAAACTCAATAATACATATTTATATACATGTGATTATGAATAGAATAATAACCAATAATAAAAATAACATCCAATCAAATTATTAATTATAATTTATATCACTATGCCAAACAAGGGATTAGACATCGCTTTTTTAGGCCTTTAACAGCGCTTAAAAGCGCTGCTAAAACCTCCGCTGCTAAAGGTATAGACAACGCTTATGTAATTTCAAAAGCGCTGCTATAGGTACCCCCTTTAGCAGCGCTTACACTTTAGACAACGCTTTTAATGTGGAACTTTAGACAGTGCTTGGTAAAAGCGCTGTCTATTCCCCCTCTTTAGCAACGCTTTTCCTTATTATTTTTTAATGTATTTTTTTTCAATCACTTTAGACAGCGCTTTTATTAAAAGCGCTGTCTATTCCCCCCCCCCCCCCCCCCCCCCCCCCCCTTTAGCAGCGCTTATTGAGTGGTGTGTTATGCTTTCAGTAAAATATGTTGCTGGTGTACACTCTCTCCACAGTTTGAGTTGAATTCTTCTTTCATACCACACCATACAATGAGTTCGTCTCAACAAAGCTCTTTTTTTACAAGCTTTGACACAGTAATATGCATGTGTGCACGAACAAAGTTCAGATATATTCTGATGTTGTTATATCTCATCATATCATAAATCATAATCTATTAAGAAATCCAGCAAGGAATATTGCAGGTTTGAGTTTCAATGTCATCAAAATGATCGCATACATTCAATCTTCCACAAACATACAACTTTCTTAATAATAAATATACCGTACAAAAACATGGCAGGATAATCCATTCTAATTATAATTAACAAATGAAATGACTCAAATTGCACATCTTAACTCCCTCCTAGCTCCAACAAAACTCTAATCCTAAAGAATCATATAAAAACTTGATTCTCTAACCTAAGTTCCTATACATACTAGACACAGACATGATGTACAATTTCTTTATGTCTGAAATAGTTATAAGCAATTTAAAAATGCCTTGCTCTTTTTGAATTCGCTTGGGTAAATAAACGCAGAATCCAAACAGATACCACCTTTAGTGTGAGTGCAGTCAATTTGAGTCAGAGAACTTGACTTTGGTTGATGAATTTCCATCCACAACAGTGAAATCGCCTGCATGGTAAAAAGTCCAATTGCCAGGTCCTTTCAGAAAACATTGGAAGGCGACGTATTGCCCATTAGAAGTCCAAAGTTGGAATTGCACAGGCTTTTTGTCCCACCCATGAACATGTTCAGTGTTGCAGACACGACGTCCAAACCTCTTGTGGGCTCGCCCAAGGTGTACTCTGAAGAATAAGCTATATGTCCCAGTAGGAAATGGGAAGTCAACTTCCCCCTCCACTTCAAACCACCAGGTATGCTGAAGGTATGCAACAGTATTGAATCTGCAGAGATAACATAATTCAATTCCAAAGATCCACTAAAATAGATTTATTATATTGGCAATCAAACTACTTAATAATGAGCTTCACAAATTGCATCGTCAACTAGGAAAATTAAAGAAAAGGAAGCATGTTTACCCATGTGATTTAACTTCAATCTTAAACAATATCCACTAGTTTTCCTTCACAACAGTACTTACTGAGATTTATATATGTAACCCGAAATTACCCTTAAAACATTTTAAATTTAAGGGGAAATTTCGGTTTTTCAGAGGGGAAAAGGATAATGGGACAGAAAGCGCTTCGAGCCGGAACCACTCCACCCCCGTTACCGCTATTTACCCTATAGTGGCAACAATAGTGTTCTGCGCCGCTAAGGCTCATCCCATAATGGCCGGCATCCACTCCGCTCTGCTATAATGGGAATAGGGCCGTTATTGACTACTCTGATGTACTATCACTTAACCAGTCTTCACCCTCATCAAGTGTTCAAGAATAAGGCAATGGATGCATGTAGATTCTGTGTAGAAATTTGACCATAAAATAGATGCAAAAAACCAAAAACTATTAGCCTATTAAATATTATCGATTTTTTTTCAAGTTTAGGAGAGTATTCTTCTATCAATTAGTTAAGGAATCACTCATCATGGGTATGAATTGGCAAAGACCTCTTCCAAGTGTTTTCCCCAAACAAATCAATCAAAGAATTGAACCTATAACCACATGTTTGAGGGCACAAGCCCCACGCATGGACTAACACATGTTGATACTGGGCATTTGATTTACTATCCAATTATCTTCCTTAACGAAAATTATGAAATACTAACTCCACCAAATCTAGAAACTTCAACAATGTTAGTTCTAAACTTCAAGTGAGAATGAGTATTTCACTAAACATCGGTTACTGCTTTTTAACCCCATCCCTCAGTTCATTCCCATTCCCTTCATTCCCTCCTTCACAATCTCCTCATCATCAAACCATTCAATGAAACAACAAAAAATTCAGGCTAAACACCAAAATCTAGAAAACACAATTACATATAATAAGAAACAAAACTCATCACAGTGCTAGAAATTTCCTACATTCTCATAACATTAATGTTAAAAAAAATAAAAAATAAAAAGTCACCTAGATTCTTCAGTAAGAATATGATTCCAATATCTCCTATCATCAACCCTAGTTATCGATAGTCCCTTGTTAGCTGAAATAGCCAAACAAAGCTTACCACTCCCTCTATCAAGCCAAACTTTCTACACAAAAAAAAACTGGTCAGAACTAAACCCTAAAAAATCCATTTCCCCGAAAAATTAGGGTTTTCAAAATTAAACCTCAATTTACCTTGGTGCCTTTGTCAAGATCATTGAGGCGACAAAGGGAAACGTAAATATCACATTTACCCAAACCAACCGGAAAATGATTAAAGATTTTGTTGAGAATAAGATGATAATTAGAAGGCAATTTCGATTCCCAAACAAAATCAGCAGAAGAAGCAGCGTTAAAAGCTCGATTCAATGTTGCAAGTTGACAGATCTGAGGAGGATCCATGTAACCGATAATGGAAGCGACGCAACTCTCCGGTAAATCACCGAGAGTGGGACTGGAAGAAGCTGCTGAATAAGATAGAAAAGAAGAAAATCGAAGACCCATGAAATTGAAATCGAAATCGAAAACAAAACAGTAACTTAGAAAGATTGAAGAAAAGGTTTACATATAAAGAGAAATTGAAAATTGGGAAGATTGGGAATACAATAGGTATGACTCAAAAAATGTAATTACAATTTTTTTTTTTGTGTAAATTAATGACTTGTGTGTACTTTTTTTTTCAATCACCTTAGACAGCGCTTTCAAGAAGCGCTGCTAAAGGTATTATCTTTAGCAGCGCTTTTAGAGTAATGCCTTTAGCAGCACTTCTGGAAAGCGCTGTCTAAGGTATACCCTTTAGCAGCGCTTTAGGCTTTAGCAACGCTTCCTAGAATAACACCTTTAGCAGCGCTTTTAGCAAGCGCTGTCTAAAGTATAACCTTTAGCAGCGCTTATTCTAATTTTTTAATTTTTTTTACTGAAAACCTATAGCAGCGCTTAGGGAAGAAAGCGCTGTCTATGGTAAGGCCTATAGCAGCGCTTATAATAAGCGTTGTCTATAGTATACCTTTAGCAGCGCTTCTCCTTTAATTTTTAATTATTAATTTTTCTGAAAACATATAGCAGCACTTTAGGCATAAGCGCTGTCTATGTGGCGCTGTCTAAAGTCAATTTTGGCATAGTGTATCAATTCAATAAGTGAGTAAGTGATCATAATTAAATAATAAGAGTTATAGAATAGAAAAATAAAACATACTTTAAATATTTATGTGATATATTTATATTTATATATTTATTTCATCGCTATTTTGAAATTATTATTTTTGTAATATTTAACCTCCTCTTACTCTTTAACTGTTCACTATCTTTACTATTCATTTTTCATGGGTTTTAAGTTAAATTTTTCTATTATTTTATCTATTCAAAAGTTATTACAGTCGTTTTTTAACTTTGAGCTAAACTTTATGAAACGCCAAATAAATCCAGTTGTTTATATTTTAACTAAGGCAGTCTATTCTAAAATTAGGCGTAATTTCTTTAACCTGACTCTTCTTATATTGAACAAATTTTATTCAATGATATAAGTTACGTTTCTGTTTGTCAAAAAAATTAATGTTAATTTTTTATTATTCTATTCATTATTCAGACTATAAAATATAGAAAAAATATAATTAAATAATGATAATTCAATGTCTCACTTTTTTTTTTGGAATCAAAAGAAAATATCGACACATTTATATACACATAATTATGAATATAATAATAAAAATTAATTAATTAATTAATTTAATTGTTAATTAAAATTTGTATCAAGACAATAAATGACTAAATGAATATAAATAATATATAGGAGTTACGTTATAGAAAAAAGTAGTTGAAACATTTATGAGTTATATTCATATATTTATTCAATCAATGACATTTTTAAAGAGTTTTTCTTTTTAATTCCATATTGAATTGTATAAGTTATTATATAATGTAAATATAGAGATATAATAAATTATTATTATTTTTATGACTATTATTATTATTATTATTATGGTTTCAATTTATTTATATATATATATATATATATATATATATATATATATATATATATATATATATATATATATATTCGGATGATACATAATAGATAAATAATTATAATTTTAAAATAATAATAGCTAGATATTATATTATTATTATTTATTATTATTAGTTAAATATTATATTAATATTATTATTATTATTTATTTTTTATATGAGATTAAATTAATAAATAATATAATTAAGGTTTTTGCTAAGAGTTGTTATTATGATTAGGAGTGAAAATATGCTAGGTTAAGTTATATTTTATAAGACTTGAGTCTGACATACGATAAATACAAGGCTTGAACTTGGTCTATGATTTATTATAGACACTTTTTTTGTTGTTTGGTCTGACCTTTTTAAAAGTCTATTTAAAAATCCGTTTCTCATTAATATTTTCAATAAATCCTTATTACTTACGAAGTCTTATAGATCGATCAATATATACATATAGAAGCCGATCTATATATTTATATATATATATATATATATATATATATATATATATATATATATATATATATATATATATATATATATATATATATATATATATATATATATATATATATATATATATATATATTAATTAGTCTATTTAGCCTTTTTTTTCTAATATATATGCCAATATATTTAGACTATTTTTAATATATATAAAATTATAGACCGGAATATACGGTTTTATAGGCTTTTTTAATAGCTTAAGTCTGACCTATTTAATTAAATAAATTTTTATAAAAGTTTAAGTCTGATTTTTTTAATAAATAAATTTTACCTAACTTATCCTCAAATAAGCTAGGTCATATGCCCATACTCACTAATTTCCACTCATAATCATGATAACACCTAGCTAGGATTGTAATCATGACAACTTTATATTTATATTAAGTAGATTGTTGTTGTTATTATTATTATATTTATTATTATTATTATTATTATTATTATTTTATTATTATTATTATTATTATTATTATTATTATTATTATTATTATTATTATTATTATTATTATTATTATTATTATTATTATTATTATTATTATTATTATTATTATTATGTTTATTATTTATGTTTAATGTATTGTCAAATTTTTCTATACATTATTATATAATTCTATAACTTCTTCTTTAAAGTTTTCTTCCAAAATTTATTCTAAAATTAATTTATCTATTATTAATTAAAAAATAAATAAAAAAATAATAATAAAAAAACCAATTGATAATCTCCCATTAGTATAAAATATATTTAACCACGTTTTCCAAAAATCTATTTTACAATTTATTATGCAAAAAAATTAGAATAATAATAATAGTTTTTTTTTCCAATTAATTTTAAATAAATTACTCAAAAAATAATTTTTAAAAAAATATACAATACCCATGTTTTTATTTAATTAGTTATAATAATAATAATAATAATAATAATAATAATAATAATAATAATAATATAATAATATAATAATAATAATAATAATAATAATAATAATAATAATAATAATAATAATAATATTAATAATAATAATAAATAATAATAATAATAATAATAATAATAATAATAATAATAATAATAATAATAATAATAATAATAATAATAAATAATAATATATTAATAATAAGAA